TCGGATGTTGTTTTGTTGTCGTTTTCGTCATTTTCATTGTCTGGTGTGTTTTGGAGGCTTATGCGGCCCACGTTGGCCCCAGAATGAAAATTGTCATTCAGTATTTTTCATGTGGTTTTTGGGCTTAAGTTGGTCCCCGTCCACTTAATCGGACACGATGGAACCGAACGTCCTGTGCGTCCGGGCACCCCGTTGTCGAAGGTGGAGGATAATGAGGAGTTGGAACAGGATGATGATGATGGTGGCGATTATTTTGTTGTGGTGATGATGATGATGATGGCGGTCATGATGATGGTTGGGATGATGCAAAGATGATGATGGTGATGATGATGATGATGATGATGATGATGATGATGATGACCTGGAAGAGGTGATGACGATGTTGCTGATTACCTTCTGAGCTCTCCTGGGAGTACTCTTGGAGCCTTTCTACAGTTCCGTGGGGGGCCCTTGGGCCGTCTGGAAACCCATTAGGGCGTTTCGGAGCGATCTGTCGCAACATGGGGCCCTCTTGAATCGTCTTCGGGGCCTCTAGTGTCCTCGTCGTCCGTTTCGGGGCTTGCTTGAGCTTGAAAAAGCAAGCGCCAAGCCGCGCTGCGACAAGCCGCGACGCGCCCTAGGGATTCCTAGGGATTCCTAGGTAGTGATATCCTTAGGAATCCTTGCACATCGTACGGATTTGCACGGGTTCCCAAGGATTTCACTAGTGACCTGGACAGGCAAGGCGTTCGGTTTGCGCAAGGAGTCTTCAGGTTTCGCCAGGGATCCCTAAGGAGTCGTAGGGATTCCTAGGGATTCCTCGGGAGTCGTAGGGAGTCGTAGGGGTTCCTGGGGATTCGTAGGGATTCGTAAGGGTTCCTGGAGATTCCTAGGGGTTCCTACGGGTTCCTAGGGATTCTCCGGGGGATTCCTAGGTAGTGAAATCCGTAGGGATCCTTGCAAATCGTAAGGACTTGCATGGGCTCCTAAGGATTTCACTAGGGACCCAGACGGGCAAGGCGTTCGGTTTGCGCGAGGAGTTTGAAGGATTGGCAAGGGATCCCTGAGGATTCGCAGGGATTTCTAAGGATTCGTAAGGAGTCGCAAGGATTCTTACGGAGTTGTAGGGAGTCTTAGGGATTCCGAGGGATTCTCATGAATTCCTAGGGAGTCGTGGGGATTCGTAGGGGTTCCTAAAGATTCCTAGTGATATCTAGGGATTCCTATGCATTCCTAGGGATCCCTAGGGATTGCGAGGTCGTGAAATCCTTAGGACTGTTTGCAAGTCGAAAGGATTTGCCAGGGTTCCTGAGGATTTCACTAGGGACCCGGACGGGCAAGGCGCTCGGCTTGCGCCAGAAGTCTTAAGGATTCGCAGGGGATTCCTAAGAATTTGTAGGCATTCGTTCAGGGGATTCCTAGGGATTCCTAGTGAGTCGTAGAGAGTCTTAGGGATTCCCATGGAGTTGTAGGGAGTCGTAGGGAGTCGTAGGGATTCCCAGAGATTCCTAGGGACTCCTAGGGATTCCGAGGAGTTCTTCCAAAATATTCATATGAATTCGCAGGTAAGGAAACCCTTAGGAAACATTGCACATCGAAAGGATTTGTAAGGGTTCCCACGGATTTCACTAGGGACCTGGACGGGCAAGGCGTTCGGTTTGCGCAAGGAGTCTTCAGGATTCGCAAGGGAGTTCCAATGATTCGTAGGGGTTCTTAAGGATTTCTATGTATTCCTAAGAATTCCTGGGAATCGTGGGGAGTCGTAGGGGTGCCTAGGGAGTCGTAGGGAGTCGTGAGGGTTCCTCATGATCTAAGGATTCCTAGGGAGTCGTAGGGATCTTAGGGGGTCCTAGGAATTGGTAGGAATTCCAAGGGAGTCGGAGGGATTCGTATGGATATCTAGGGATTCCTATGGATTCCCAGGTGGTCGTGGGGATTAGTAGGAATTCCTACAGATTCCAAAGGATTCCGAGGGATTCCTAAAACATTCAAAAGGAATCGTAGGTCGTGACATCTTTGGGAATCCTTGCAAATGATAAGGAATTGCCAGGGTTCCAAAGAATTTCGCTAGGGACCCGGACGGGCAAGGCGTTCGGTTTGCGCAAGGAGTCTTGAAGGATTCGCAAGGGTTTCTAAGGATCCGTCAGGAATCGTAGGGATTCCTAGGGATTCCTCGGGATTCCTTGGGAGTCGTAGAGAGTCGTAGGGATTCCTAGGGAGTCGTAGGGAGTCGTAGGGAGTCGTAGGGGTCCCTGGGGATTTAAAGAGATTCCTAGGGTTTCCTAGGGATTCCTTAGAACCCTTGGGGATTCCAAGGTACTCTGAGGGGTTCCTGAGGATTCCAAGGCCTTCCTAAGGTCTCGAGGTAGTCAAATCCGTAGGAATCCTTGTCGGGGTTCCTGAGGATTTCACGAGGGATCTGGACGGGCAAGGCGTAGTAGTAGTAGTAGTAGTAGTAGTAGTAGTAGTAGTAGTAGTAGTAGTAGTAGTAGGTAGTAGTAGTAGTAGTAGTAGTAGTAGT